TCTTATTGGATTGTGTCAGAGAATTTCCTATACTTGTGTCAATGAACTAGACCTTGTCACCGTATTACATACAGTCAAGACATTGTTGATGTCAAGGTGTTTTGGAAGTCTCGTGCTCACGGTAGATAAATCAAGCTGAAGTTGACAAGAAATTAGAACGAACGAACGAACAAACACCGACGACCTAATCAAGAATGAGAGCATCCATTTGATGAGCTTTGTTTCTACCAAAAGTCGATGGACTAAGGAGTTGCGCTGTACTTGCAAGGCTTGGGTCCTCTATCCATACGACTACTGTAACTTCTACCTCAACAACAAATGTTGTATCCAATTATGATCACCTGGCTCAACGGTGGTACCATGTCGTGAGATCCTTCATCGACGATGGTGACAACACGGTGGCTCGGTTCGAGGAAAAGGGCTTGTGGGTATTTCTGTAAGGGAATATGTGAAGGCAAAAATCGAGCTAAAAGTTGTAGGGAAGAATAAAAGTTATCAGCTTTTTATAAAATAAAATAAAAAAGTATTAATGTGTTTGTGATAATGGAGAATAAAAATCGAGCTAAAATCAGCTTTTGACATGATTTTTGTTGTGTTTTTCTGATGCTGGAAGAATATGTTTGTGTGTCTCCTTTTCTGGTTGAACTGACATTAGTGGATCAATTTTGAATAGTTTAAGAAAATGGTATGTTTCTCTGTTTCTGTTTCTGTCATTTATTATTATTATTTACCTTTGCTAGTGCTTCCTTTACCTTATTTCTTCAAAATATATATATAAAAAAATGTTAATGTGATGCAAATCCGAGAGGGTTCTAGCATCGTGTCAAATGTGTCTGAAGAAGAAGAGCAAAAACAAACTAAGCATGCCCTTGGATTGCTATGAGAAACTCCTTCGGATAGCACAGTCTAATTCAAAAAATTTCATATATGCTTGATAAACATGAGATCCCACGTTGGTAAGAGAGGAAAACGAAACATTTCTTACAAGAGCGTGGAAACCTCTCTCTAGTGGACTTTTTTTAAAATCGAGCGATATATAACCGGCTAAAACTGACAATATTTGCTAACCGTAGACTTGGGCTTTTACAAACAGTATTAGAGCAAAACACGGGGCGATGTGCCAGCAAGGACACCGAACCCCAGAGCTTGCAAATGGTATCATGGCCAAACCATAGGGGGATTTGCCCACTAGAATGTTGGTCTTTAAGGTGGAGAAATGTGAGATCCTACATTCGAAACTTCCATATATGAGGTAACAAAATTGTCTTTTATCTATTTTATTGCTCATAAAACAAGAAGTGGGTAAATAATTGTCACCCCACTTGTTCTTCATGTATACAATACTCAAAACCAAACTATTAGCCGTATCTAAATTTTGTATATACTTTCTTCCTCTTCTTCTTCTTCTAATTTTCACCTAAATTGCAAGAATCCCAGTCGAGAAAATCCCTCTGTTATAGGGCGAATTCGACGCCGTCTCCGCCACCGATCTCGCCTCCGACCGACATTGCTCCTTCGTCTCCTCCTTCTTTATTTGGCTCGACCGGCACTCCGGGCTACAAAACGCCAATTCCCCTCTGCAAAATTTTCACAACCCATCAGAAATTTTGATCGGAATAAATTAAATTCTGAACCAAATAAATTTTTGGGTATTGTTTCTTTACTTGTAAATGTATATATCTTTCCCCTCTAAATTTTTCCCACACAAATGACACGATCGGAGGAAATCAGCCGTCCGGCGCGGCGGAGTTTCATCGGCGGGAGCCATAATCGGAGGCGATTTCTCACAACACCTACTAGCGACAAGACCGCCGTCATAGTAGACACGTGTGGAAGATTCGTGAGGTCCACGCATGGTAACATAAGTGTAATTCTCTTCCACGCCGTCGAGTTCGTCGTCTTCCTCCGGCGGAAAAGACCCACCGGCCAACGCGATCGGGATCGGAGCAGGGCAGCGAGCGGAATTGAATTTCGGGCTGAAGACGGCGTGTTTAACCAAAATATCACATCCACGGACGACGGAGGTGGAGGTGTCGAGGGCGGCGACGATGCCAAGTCCGACGGCGGCGTTGTAATTTTTTAGATTGCCTCTGGGAGAAGAGGAGAGGTCGAAATGGGAAGTGGGGCTGGCGGCGGAGGCGGAGGCGGTGGTTGTGGTGTCGAGGAAGGCTGGCCGGCAACGGGAGACGAGAAGCTCCGATAACCTTCCGATGATCGGACGTTGCCCTTTGGCCAACATGATTGAGAGAGAGAGAGAGAGGATCAGACGGCAAAGGCAGAAACAGAGAGAGTGGAGAAATGAATGGGAAATGGGGATTGTACTTATAAAAGTAGGGAATGAAATTATATGAAATAAAGGTAAATTAAATAATAATATTATTTTTATTAATAATAATAATAATAATAATAATAATTGCATCAAAGGTTGCTTTTTGCACATAAAATGGGGGAGTAAGTGGGCTCCACTTACCTTAGCCCCTGGTTTTGGTTTTGGAATTATTTAGGGTTTTTTATTCCATTAAATAAATAAATAAATACACGTATACATATATATCCTTTAATTTAAAAAATATAATTAAAAATTCTAAAAATATTCTTATTATTATTTCTCAATATTTGAGTATTTCGACTAATATATATATATACGTATCAATATATCATTTAGTTTAAAAAATATAACTTCAAATTTTTTTAAAATATATTGTTAATTTTGGATAAAAATTTTATTCTAATATTTAAATATTTCAACTTAAATATATATATATATGCATACATGTATCCTTTATTTTAAAAAATATTATTTAAAAAAATTCGACATTGAAAAATGTAATATTTGAATATTTCGACTCAATAAATAAATAAATATATATATATATATATATATCATTTAGTTTAAAAAATATAACAATTTAAAATCCCTAGTTTGACCATTTTAAGCAAGCATATGAAAAAATTGAGTGACAGTCGATATTTTTCAACATTGGGGTGTAGAATTTTTCAACAGTCTGCATTGTCGTTGCTGCTGCTCGAAACTGTTAATATTTTGTTTTGAAAATATTTAAAAATTTTCAAATTTGTGAACTAGCTATGATCAGGCAACCGTCAGACCGACACTCAGACTTTTTGTTCTTATCTTTTTTTATTCGACTATAAACTATAGAGTTGTTTCGTAGTCCAGCTTTGAATTAAGAGATAATAAAACCTTTTATAAAAATTTAATTTAATTTCTAGTCATAATATTTAATGTCATTAATTAATATAGTTAGCTAAATAGGAAATATATGTTCGTGATGAAACTAAAATGGCGAATAAAAATTATAATTTAATTTAAAAAAAAAAAAATAAAGACTGATTTGGAAATTACAGGGATTATATGATAATTAAGGTTTGTTTTATTTAATTAATGATAATAATCCCAAATCTCAATATTGTAATTGAAGATTGGCCATTTTGGGCTTCTTCAGATTTTTATTTTTTTAAATAGCATATTTGATTTGGGAATATTTTAAAGAATATTTTAACCATTTTATAATAAATTCTCTTCAAAACAAATGCTCCCAATTTATGCTTATTTTAATTGGTTAATTTCAAATATTTTATTCAAATTTTTAACTATGCATTAAAATTTAAATAATTATTATAATTACATTTTTTTTTTTATGATTGGTCAAAATTGACATTATTATTATTTATTTCATTTAATTAAAATGATCTTATAATAAAATAAATATAACCACTTAATTAATATTTATTCATTTATAATGAAATAATAAATGCATTTGGTACAACAATTTAAGCAATTCCCAACAAATTCTATGGAAATTACATTATAAAAATAAATAATAATAATTTAAAAGATAGAAAATAAAAAAATAAAAAAAATAAAAAAAGTAGTTTTCAAAATGCTAATTATTTTAGATGATGTCATTGTCCAATGATTATGACAACGTTTTAATTTTAAGGGAGTGGGTCCCACAGTGGGGACAGCTTCACGCACAAGAGATTCCATTTTGTTTCAATCAGTGTATGACACGTGTCGTGAATCGGAGGTATGAGTACAGGTGTAGTTCAGTGGAGCGGTCTGTAGTGGAACCGTCTCACTTCAAGACCCGACGACAATAATTGAAGGCGATTACTCAGACCACTATGAATGGGCTAAGCGACACATCGTCTAGAGCCCACTGCTATTAAAAGGGAGGCCCCACATTCTTCGGCATCGAAAACGACAGGTCGGAACTGTAGTCCCATGGTTTCTAATTCCCGTTATGTCCTCATTATGAGTAAATTACTTTAATACCCTTACTGAATTCCAAAAATCCACTATCTAACCTCCACACGGGACAGCTTGCTTCTTTCGTTTTCGCTACTTTTAACGTTAATGACTATTTTACCCCTCTTTAATCTCTCTAATTACGATATTGTCCTTTGACTTATTCTCTTGGTTATTATTTTTTCTTGGTAGTTTTTAATAAATGACTTTTTTTTCAATAATAATGAGGAAAATATGGTGTCAATAATAATTATTTGAAGAAATAACATACCCATTATAAGTAATTTATTAATAAATAAATAGGATATAAATTTATTTTAAATAATGATATATTAAAGATTTATTAGATATAAAATTGAAAGACGAGGACTTATTAACCAATAATAATAATAATAAATAAAAATTATATAAATAATTTTTATATTGCCTTATGATTTTGAATATTAATTATTTGGCTTACATCATTGTGAACTATTCAACATAATGACTATTAAAATTATTAAAGAAAATTCAAAAAATAAATAATTAACTAATTTCATGGTCTTGATTTAACCTATTTTATAATATTCTCAAAATAAAAATATCTTTTATAGTAAATTAATTGGTTGCGGAATAAAGGGGCAAAATGGATTAAAATTTTATAATTATCATTTTTTATATTAGAATTATTTTTTAACAATTTTATCCAAATTCTTTTATGGATAAATTGAAAAATATCATTAATGTAATT